ATCGCCGAGTATGGAAAAGAGGTCAATGTTCAATTTAAGAAGGATTAAGTATAATAGAAAAGCCTTCTTTAGATAAATAATTTCCTATCCTATAAGGAGGCCGGCAATACCAGTGTAGAACAAGCTGCCTCTTAAGAGCTCTGGTCTTGTGTTCAGTCATCTTTCTGAAGTGTAGCCTCAAGTTGTTTTGGCCTTGATTTTTTTTTTTTTTAATTAATTTTGTGTCATTTGCATCTTCTATGGTGTAGAACACCCATTAGTTGCAATAGTAGCCTTGCCAAATGTGTATGGAATTCTGTAGAACCTCTGGACTATACAATAAAGTGAAGAAACAGGCTATTAAATTGGCTGGAGAGGAGATTTCCATTGAGAATGTTATTTCTGCTTTGGCTTTCAAAATAACATGGATTACTGGAGTGGGAGTATATGTCCATAGGTAAAGCTGTAGCACGCAGAGGACAGGAAAAATAAGAAAGCAATGGAGAGAAAGCAGGAGAAGAGATAGATAAGAGTATATAACAGCAGCAAAGGACAGGTGAGTGATTTTTCTATTTCAATTTTTATCCCTTTTTTCCTTTATTTTTACTTTCTTGCTCTTCTTTACCAATTGTCACAGAATTTATAGCATTAGAAGCAAATTTAAAAAAAAAAAAAAAACAAAAAAAAAACCCAAAAAACCCAACAACACAAAAAACAACCAACAACCAAAAAAAAACAAACCAAAAAAACCTAGGCTTTTAGTATATTATATGTAACATTAGTCTAGAGCCGCAGGAACTGTCCTGAGTTACTAATATTGAACTTGCATTGATTCTTTCCTTTGTTTCCTTTTTTTAACCTTTTCTGGTAAAACATATAGCAGAAAGAAACTTCCAATTTTTAATGTCACTCAGGTAACTAATAATATAGCTGATTTTTTAAAACTTTCCTGGAAGCCAGTTAATTGTGACTGATTCTTAATGACCTACATAGGAGGAAAAAATACAGGAGGAAACTTAATCTCATAGTGGACTTATGCTGTAGAGTTGGGGTGAAACGTATATATACGTACATATGTATATACAGTGGCTAGTGCTTTTAAAGAACAGGATTGACAGCAAAGTCAACTGAAATGGATTTAAAGTATAATATTTACTATAGGTAGAGCTGCTAGTGCCACCTGTACTTAAGGTTGCATGACCCTTTCCATTTTAAGGCTTAACTCTTAGTTACTTTATAACTTTTGCCAAAGTTCAGTTCAGACAGATTTTTCCATGCCAGATGTCTGCTTTGGGTTGAATTTTTTTTGAAAGTTTCAGCCGAAGCAGTTCTGTTCCAAGAATAAGGCTAGTGAAAAGTATGCTATTTTGCTTGTGTGAGAATATTCTGGTGTCCTTCTTTGATGCTCCAGTGCCCCCAAGCTCTGAAGCAAGGATTTGAAATTTGGCAATAGTTCAGCCTTTGTGTTGAGGATGTGCCTTTTGCCTCCCTGTAAAAATCCACCCAAATTTCCAGACCGGTTTACAAGGCTTTGAAAGATTGCCATTTGCATGGGCTTAATAGGAATTTCTTAAAACTTCACAGTAAGTTTCCTTTAGATTCTCTTCACACTGGGAATGCTCCAGGCAGAGCAGAGCTGCATATTTCATCCCACTTCTAGGAATTGTAACGGCTGGATCTGGGTGTTGACACTGAACTAAGAGTGGGCAGCATTTTATCTTGTACCACCACTGCCTGTTCCCATGTCCTGTTCCTTCTGCCTGGTAAAGGACCTGGGCCCTCTGGAAAAAGAAACTGTCTCAGTTCATCTGAAAGAGCATGACAGTTTTGGAGGAGAAGAATTTAGGAGCGTGTGTGTGTCTGGTTTGTACCATTCCTTTGGTCACAGAAAATGTGTGTGTCATACTGGCAAAATACTACTTCCTTTTCTAGTGGATGTTCAGATAATAATCGTTAGGCTTTGTTGTATTTAAACTTCAGTAGTTGAGTGGGTCTCAAGGCTTTAATCATTTTACTGAACTATGAAAAAAGTTAGACACACAAAATGCCACAGTACAGTAATTTATTTATATTTATAATGTTATTTATAATGTTATTTGGAGGGCAAAAATCAAGAGCTCACTTTTTTCAAACATTTAAGTCTAACTCAGACCTCTTATACTTAATATATTGTAGTACAGCCTCCAACTTCATCGCAAGTGTCACATGCTTTGTCCAAGAGGCAACTATTTGATTGGAATGGGGAAAGGGGTCTATTCTGAGGATGAGTCCAGGATTTGTACAGTAAAGGATGTGTATTCATCTGTTACAGCAGTTGGAACATGTGGAGCAAGTGAAGCAGAGATTTCAGGAATTAAAAAAAAAAAAAAAAGGCTTTGTGGCTAAGACAATTGAATGCTGCTTGATGAATTGTGTGGAATCTGTGCTTAGTCATGAGTTTTTTACATGATGCACTCAAATAACTGTTCCTAGGTGGCTGCTCATGCTCTGTGTTCTAGTGGCTGGTTTGAGAACTCTTATCAATTTGTAGAAATGGAGACACTTACAACTGCAAATTAACTCAGTGGGAGTTAAACCTCATGTAAAATACTGTATGTTACTAAGGACAGTAAAAATCAGGTTCAAAGTACGTGAAATTTGACATCTGGAATCAGGGAGTATTCTAATCTAGTTAACCTAATGCCTCAGTTGCCTGTTTTACAGATGTAGAAATTACTTGTCCCATCTCTGTAGAAAAGCTGGTGAAGAAATTGCTTGCCTTTGTAGCAGGACTGAAAAATAACATGCTATAAATAAAGCATATGACCACCTCCTATTGATCAGGGATGAAATAAAGCATTGATAAATATGTAATCAAAAGTTTATTTATGTAATAAGACACAGGTATATTATTACATTAGTAAAATTACCTTTGCAACTCTTAACTTTCCAATGCTTACCTTTATGACCCTAATAATTCTCTTAATAAAAGACATTATTTTCTCTGTGAACTTAAGCAGCATCCAACTTTCTTTTGTACAAATAGTCCAATTTTGCCAATCCCTTGGTAGCTCTCTTGGTTCTGGAGGTGGAGTCATTATTTCACTCTTCGCAATGTCTTTCCCAATAAAGCATGCAAACCTGAACTATATTGGATCTGTATGAAACCAATGATGTCAACCTACAGAAAGTGGTACTTTTTTTTTTTTTCCCCTGTAATAACTAATCCATTTCATAATGATCCAAGCTTAAAAATCCCAATATTATAGCTCTGGAACTTAAATTTTCCACTTTGAATCATCAGTCAAGATTTGTAAACTGTGAGGATAATATTAAAATGCAAGTTTAGCAATAACCTCTTAATTCTCTTCTAAATCATGGTCACTTTACCTTACTACTAGTTGAATAAAATATTACTGATATCCTCATCCTTTCTGTTCACTGTGGAGATGGAAAGCATACTTGCTCAATCCGTTGACTACTACCTCACCATGACAAATTGCCCCTTTGTAAAGCTGCTTCAACAGTACATCATTTTTATCACTTTGTAAAGCCAACTGTTACCTGAAGTTTCCTATGTAAAAAAAGATTTTGTAGGTTTTTTGAAAGGGACAGGGTTACAATAAATAAGTGAATGTGTGTTTGTGCAAGTGTCTAGCTCCTGGAGTGAAAAGATTTGCTGCTAAGGTTTAGTGAATTTAATACTTTGGAAATTATTTGTTGGAGAGCCTGCAGAAGTGGAGAGTTTTGGATTTTGGGTTTCTTTTTTCTTTCTTTTTTTTAAGGTGGAAGTGTGAGAGGTGTGTTTCTCTCTCACACACACACACACACTCACACACACACACAACCCACCAAACCACCTTGTTTCTTGGGTCATTCCCTCAGGGTGTTTGCCTCTGAAACAGTAGATCTCAGATAGGTCTTTTGAAAGCTTCAGCAAAGGCAAGGTATTTGACAGGATGTTTGTCATGCAGTATTTTCAGGAGAAAGATGGGAATTTTGAGCTGCTCAAAGCATAGATCTTCCTTAGAGGAACTCGGCTGCTAAGAACAGCAGTCTTATTTGCTTAGCTGTGTGAAATCCACTTGCTTGTGGACAACTGTTTTGGGTTTTGTTTCCCCCCCCAAGACTTCCGTTTACTTGTGTGCTCTTCCATATGTGTTTTGAGCTGTGCTTTGAAGTTGGGCAACTAGCTTTAAACAAAAGCTGTTACCACACTTCTGCATAGCATCTAGCTTGATTTCAGCATGCTGATGTGTCAGTGATGTGGTTTAGAGTTAACGAAATGCAATTCTTTGCTTGCTTTGACATTGGTTTCTGTAGGATTAAAATTAAAAAGAAAAAAATACTCATATTACACTTTGTTGTATAAAAGCCAAGTCAAAATGGACCTTAGAATGTGACTAAATGGCTGTGCAGCGATTATTAATTGGCCAGGCATCTGTCTTGACACATAGATGAGATGAAGTCCGTGAGTTATCCTGTATTTTTTCCTCTGTCAGCTTCCTCTTCCTCCTCCCCAGTCCCCCTAATAATCTAAGGAATTTCTGAAAACCCAGACTTCGTGTGGATTTAGTTTCCTACATAATTCATTCTAGCATATTTTAGCTTAGAGTGCCTAGGTAAAACAATTTAGAGGTGCATATTTTCTGTCATCTTTGAGCAGTGTACTTCAGTAACAAGATCCAAATAGTACTTCAGTAACAAGATCCAAATAGTACTGCTTTGACTTTCTTAAATTTATACTCACGTCTGTATATTTTTGTATTGCTTTTTATTTTAAGGTTAAGGCACAAAATGAGGGGTAGATCTGAAAGGCAAAAGCAAGCACAACTGTAGTCAACAGAATTAATTTGTATCCAATTACACCAGCAGTAAATTAGCTATGAGTATTCAACTGTACTATTTCAAATTCATTCTGAAAAGTAACTAAAATCTGATTTGCAAGACTCTGCTCCATTAAACAGGTTTAGTATGTGATCAGTTATATTAGTATATTAACTGTTTCTGAATGTTTTGCTTTTTTGTCTTGTTTTTGGCAGCAACTTGAATTAGTGGAACCAAGTGGCTGGATTCATGTTCCTTTAACAGATACTCATAAGAAGCCTATTCGCACGTTTATGATTCAGATTGCTGTTCTAGCTAATCACCAAAATGGAAGAGACACTCACATGAGGCAAATCAAAGTGTACACCCCGGTGGAAGAGAGCTCTATTGGTAAATTTCCTAGATGTACAACAATTGATTTCATGATGTATCGCTCCATAAGATAAAATTTCTTAATAGGAAATAATAAAAGCATTTTTTGATGGCAGTATCATCGCTTAAGTATTCAAATACTTAAAGAGCAGGGTTTACTTCAGTGTAATTATATCTTCATGTTTATACTTTGTATGATTTTGAAATAAAGATAATCTTGTGTTACAGTATATTGTAGTCTGTAATTTTGCATTACTTGTGCTTGGAGTCTTTGAGTGCTCTTGTACTATCTAAGAGGGAAAAACAACTGGGCACTTTAAAGGAACGTATTTGTGACCAGGAATCAATAATTGATTTGATATAATACAGTTCTTTTTTTTCAGGTGATTTCTTCCCCTAATGATGCATGGAAATAGTTCGTTCTATAATGTTACTGTTCATTCCTTTACCTAAAAGTTGCTCTTTTTAAAGAGCATTCTTCTTGAACAGATATGGTTTAAAGACATTACCAGTAGTATTTTCCTGTCATTGCTTATGTTGATGTGTTGTACCCTTTTCTATATAGGTTTTTTTCCTGCTTAATAACTGTCTGCATGGATTTAGCCTTCTTTGTAACTGTGAAGTAGATGATAGAACCATAGAATATCTCAACTTGGAAGGGATCCATAGGGATCATAGAGGCCAACTCCCTGCTCCTTGCAGGACTACCTAAAACTAAGCTATATGAGTAAGAGCATTGTCCAGATGCTCCTTGAACTCTGACAGGCTTGGTGGCGTGACCCCTTCCCTGGGGAGCCTGGTCCAGTGACTGATAATGAAATGAAGATGACAATGACATGAAGAAAACTGAACCTTTCCAAATTACTCAATATAGTGTATATATGTTAATATAGATATACTGAGTATAGATCGTCTAAATGTGATAGCTGCTCAAAACAGGAGGAGAGTTAGGAATGCTCCAACATCATACAATAACACTAGGAATGAATCTGAAGCTCCAATACAGCTTCTAAAGTACCGAGAACTGAAGCGTGTAACACAAGGTAATCTCAGACTCATGGCATGGAGTTTCTTTAACATGTGTTTTAAAGAAAAGAACATTGCAAGAAAAATGTATACTTCGTCTACTTGCTATAAGTAGGAATATTTAACACCTCTACTAATGTCTCATAATCTAATTACTAGTTATTTCACCTTTTAAAAAGATTAAGTAGATTTTAGAAAGAGAGACTGTTGAAGTACAAGGGTTTCTTTTAAAATGTTCCGTACTGGTCAAACCCATTCTTCCTCCTAGCACCATAAAAGTTGATGGTAAATCCAGACTAATCTCAGCCGAGGAAAACTTCTGACACTCTTAACTGTGAGCAAGGAAAGGCTAGTAATAGTGGAGGCTCATCAAACAAAGATACAGCATCCTCCAGAGGAGAAAGAAGGTGAAATAGAGGAAAATGGGAAGGTTGTCAAAGGATAAAGATTCAGCTGTTGAAATCCTTTATATACTTAATGAAGTAAGCTGTTGTTTACTGGACAGTTTTGTCCTCTGGCTGAATTCCACAGTCTTTAGGAGGGTAATTAAAATGGGCATTTCCTGATCATGAAGCTTGTAGAGAAGTCCATGACTAGCTCAAGTTCTCTATTTAAATGTGGATTCAATCGTTTCAGGAGGACCTTAATAGTACTTTACCTTTCCATGTAAAGGATGTATCAACACAGTTCCTGTTCAGCAGAAGCTGGTTGAACTTGTGCTTTGCACCAAGTCTGTCAGTTCAGCAGATTTTATTATGTAGTGTCAAGGAGTTGCACATTCCTATACACTTATTTGAAGTAGAGTTTGTACTTTTGATATACTGCTTCATATTTTTCTGTCAAAAAAAAACCCTAACTAAACAAAAAAAAAAAAAACCACACACAAAAAAGGATTTATCCAGTTCTTTTGTTGATAAGTTATTGATAGGTTTTTAAGAAAGGAGATTATTAGGCATGCAATTTTCCTGTTTTTCTCCAGGAAGGTAAGATTGCAGTTATCCATCCTAGCTTTGTTGTCAAGTCATTGTTCCCCACTTAATGATTCTATCACAGATAATTCTGTGGTAGTTCTGAACTCTGGTTAGTAACACTTCAAAGTTTCTTCGAATTAAAATATTTTAAGTATTCTTTTCTCTTATATGTCACTCTACATTATTTATTACGTACTTCAATAATATATGCATTTATTTTCTCATCAGTTCACAAAAGACCAGTCCTGGAAGTGGACACAAACACATTCTGCATGAACCATCTCCAAAGATGGTTCAGGTAGGAGTTCAAGGGTTCCATAAACTATTAAATGTGTCCAAGTTAAGGGCACGTATTTCAAAGCAGCACCCATTATCTTTAGGCTAATGAAGTCAAAGTAATACTGCTCTATGACGAACATTATCCAGCAGACTAGGAACAGGCCTGTCAGTGTAGTCTTGTTCTGCTTGTTTCTGCCCTGCCTCACTAGGCATCATTTTTTGGATCTTTAGAGAGCTATTCCTGCTTTTATTGATTTTTCAGGGCTCCTGTGTCCATGCAGGATAGGTGCCAGTATTTGTCTCCAAAATTCAGAACTGTTATTCCTGACAGTGTAGTTGAATAAGCTGAAACCTAGCTTGACTACTTATCCTGCTACTCTGAAATCACAGATGGTGTTCAACTGGTTTTAAGAACTTACGATACCTATGTTAAACTGGATGTTGTTAAGCTTTATTGTTGGGGAGGGAAATTGTACTTGCAAATTAAATGTAATGCAGTCTTTTTAGTAGATGTTAAGGTGCGCAAAGCTTTTTAAACGTTAAGGCTGTAGTTATACTTTATTCTTCTGTCAACAGCAGATCTAGTCTGAAGCTGCACATTCCAATATTTTGTTTCTACTTTATTGCCAGAAATTACCATCTCCGTGGTTGAGCCTCTTCAGGAGCTTCCATGGCTGTTCACTAAACTGCATCTGTGAAACACTTAGATCCTTAGTCCTTCCTTGGCCCTTTAAAATAAGTATATTCTTAGTATTGGGTGGAAGCAAGTGATCTGTGGTAAGACCATGGGAGTGAACAGTGAGTCATGATGATGAGGGTGGGAGTAGATTAAGAGGGAGAATACAACTAGTAACTCCTTCAACTGCTGCTGGCAAAATAACATATGACCATGCCTGAAAGGCAGTATAAAAATGCAAACTCATTACTACAGTTTGTGTCTCGCTCTTTGATATTCAGTGTTACTTGAAAACAAGTGCAGTGGCCATTCTTAATCCGTCTTAAATCTTTTCTATGTTGTTTTGTTACAATTGTAGGTACATTGCATTGGTATTTAACATCTCTGCAAGTACGTTTGTTTTTTAACATTTTTGGTGCTTAGTCACATAAGGCTGCTGATTTTTAAGTGATGAGATGCTAGAGGGTTGTGTCTGAAAATTAAAGCAAGCTACTGCCTTTGTGTATTAATACAGTACTTGGTATTTGAATGGGTATAAACAAACTGATCTGGAAACTATTGAAGGAAGTTACTACACTTACGTTGTGTTTAGCTGCTACTTTTTTTTTCTTGCTCATTTTTTTCAGGCACACAATTGTCTGGGATCTTATCAGTTGAAAGAGCAATTTTACGTGACTAAGCAGCAAAATTGTTGAGCATGCAGATTTTTCCAAAGACTGAGTTTGAGAAGAGAAAGTTCTTGAAATGTTAATTTAGTTAGAGCTTATATATTGCCTAGCCACATGCTGCTTTGGAAGGTGTCAACAAGTGCTGTAAATTACAGTTAACTGCTAATGTGTGCTAGAGATCCAAAATTGCAAACCTAAAGAAAAGCCAGAATGAGTTACCTTTGCAGTGAAAATTCACAAAAATAAACATTCTTAGACTCGTGTATAAATACTGCTGATGGAATACTAGAACCATTTTGATGTTGACCATGAATTGCAGATTTTTAGTGAAAACAGGAATAACATTTTAGCTTGATATACTTGTCTCTCATATTCACTTCCCGCTCAGTCCGAAAAAGAAATTTCCTTTGCATCGTTTAACAATACCTTACATTCATAACTGATTTTTTTTTTATTTTATTTTTCCCCACTTGCACACTTTGGCTGCTGTTTGGAAGGAGACAAGTCCTGGGAATCTGTAGTCTTTAGTATGTCCAAGTTGTCAGCTTCTCAGTAGAAATGAATACAGAGCTATATCTCTAAAAAGCATAAAGTCAACAATTGACCTATTTACCCTACAAGGTGGTTTTACAAATGTTAACTTCAGCGGATGTTAAGAAGAGACAGGTTGTCAACTTGTTGCCAGCTTAAAGCATACTTTTTTTAATGATGAGCAAATAAGACTGCTTCTTCAAAGTGATGAGGAAAAAATAATCAGATATTCATAAACGTGGCTTGCTAAGAATTATAACTCTGTGCCTAAACTTTAGGGTAGTTCTGTGAGTATTTTGGCTTGCTTCTCCAAATATGAAAGAGCAAGGTGTACTGGTTACAAGGACAACTGATCTTAAATAACTTTGATCCATGGAAAAAAGAGCGCTTTTATAAAACTTTAAAAATTTTACAAGGTGTATGCTCAGAAAAGCCTTTTTTGCTATTTGTCAAGTAGAAACATACAATCTCAGCATTGTTGTTAGCAAGCAAACTACTAACTGAAGATATTCAAAGTTTAGAATTGAATTCAAATCAGTGACATGTCTGATCTAAAGGTTTTAGAGAGGGGAAGTGTGTGTATATTGGTATTCAATAATGGCCAATACTTTAGGCTAATAAAGGTTAAATGCTTCCTGAGTAACTTATTTTTACTAAAACAATGCTCTGAGCAGTATACTTTAGGTATGTCCCTATGTGAAAGATGTTTCAGAGGCTTTGACTGTTTTCCCTTACCCCAGATCACAAGACTTTCCCAGCAGACCCATAAGTAATTTCCCAATTTTTTTTTTTTTACAAACCTCATCTATAAAGACAGATGCCTTCTTTACACTGGTGCTCTTCTCCAGCTGGGGACTAAGATTATAGTGGATGATTTTGTGTTATTATTGTAGCAGTATCAAAATCAGCTACTTTATCAAGTA